TAGTATATTATTGACGTAGACATTGGAAAATTGAAATAATCATGTTGAATTTTAGAGATTTTTATAGGTCGTAACTCGTAATTCTTATTACTTATCATCACTATCACAAAAATTATTAGCCTTATTGAAAATATTTCCCTTAGTTTATATGCCGAAATACCTATACTATAGAATATTTTAAAAATTAGAAAAAAATTTATAAATTACAATGTAAAGTGATACTTATAATGATGTAATACGCCTAATGCTTATAAGTTTATAATTTTTCATTTAGATTTTCTATTTCTAATCCCCAACTTGAAGGGTTTTGTCATTTGTTAAAAATACTACTTTTTTATCACAATAATTTTTAAAATTTTTTACTTTTATRAATGACAACAGTTTTATCTATTATTCATTTTTGATTGAGTAGGTATATAGCATTATTTTTGAAGTAGTTGGATGTATATATAGTATATAAATATGTAAATATATCGTGTTATTACTTTTAAGACTGAAACTTGAACACATTTTTGATTTTTAAAACKTCTAATTTAATCTGACCGTGTATGGTGTTATCTTGTAGATTTCAAGCGGCCATAAAAAAATACGGAGTACCGGAAGAAGAAATTTTTCAAACTGCCGACTTGTTCGAACGCAGAAACATAGCGCAAGTGACGCTCTGCCTTTACGCCCTCGCTCGCATTGTAAGTTCATTCCAATATATGACTGATTTATAACAAAGGGGCATGTATTTGCAATTTTTGCCTAAAAACAAAATTTGTACTGAATAGAATACATCACTATTTGTTTTCTCTTTCTGACCAAAGCAAAACATACAAAATGACAAAATGAACCAACCCTATTAATTTTAGTGATATTGTGAATTCATCTAGTATTACAGTTGAGAACATAACCCGTGTCACTATAACATTGGCTATTTTATGTAATTTTTAGAGTTATGACACTTTAAAAACGCGTATGATTTTCATAAATAAATACACAGCAGTTAATATGTTCTTAACTTAAAATTTCATAATAAATGAATTCACTCTAATATTTAAAGTGACAATACAGGGTTGGTTCTAGACAACTTAAATATGCTGTATTGCACGTAGGTAAGAGAGAGAAAACAAATGTGWTGCATTGACATTTTCTTACCTTCACAGGTATGAAAATACATTTTTTCCTTTGTTGACTTAATACTAAACATTAAAGTACAAAATAAATGTGAAATTAATAATACAAATGTGAACATCAAGATTTAGTAAATACATAACCAATATCTTTGTGTTCCCTTTATAGTATATCRGGGGTATACCAATAATGATAATAAGCATGTTTGTTTGTAGACCCAAAAGCACCCGGAGTACACAGGCCCTTCATTGGGACCTAAGATGGCTGATGCTAACAAGAGAGAATTTACTGAAGACCAATTGAGAGCTTCTGAGGGCCACCTCAACCTTCAAATGGGATTCAACAAAGGAGCCTCCCAGTCTGGATTGGGATCTTTTGGCAATTCGAGGCATATGTAATAAACAGCAACTTTATGAATAAAAAACGTGCACTTCTTAGTGATATTTATGCGTACTACTTTCACAATGACTTGCTATGATTATTCAATTATATTTTGTTAAACGCGAGGAAGCGACATTTTAATTATTATATAAAACATATTTTTTTTTCTTTCAAAAAGTTCATTTATACTCAGTTTTTTATTATTATACACACAGTGCCTATTTACTAACATAATTATTTATTAAAATATACAAAAAATAATAATTATTTACAAAACTCGTACATCTTTTATAATATAAAAATGTTACCTATTTATTATTATTATTGTCTTAAAGCTTTTTAGAATCATCAGATTCATACAATGATACTACAGACATTTTTAACCAGGAATAAATAAGTTACCTTTTTCAGCACTTGTGAGAACGATTCTTGAATACGATTGTCCCTTTGTCTAGATTTCTCTTATTCATGACTGGGCAGCTGTAAAGGGTCCAGTAAATGTCAATGAAGTCGTTTGTTGCATATTCCTCATAACAGTCATAACTATACCCTGATAATTACACCATTCAATGGGATTTAGAGCAATAAGGTGGATTTGCCTGTGCTTATGGCTGGACCCCTTTATGGTTCCTCAGTGTTCTACATTTTTTTGCTA